AAAAAAAAAAAAAAAAGGGGGGGGGGGGGGGGGGGTAACTTCTTCCCAGTAAATGTGAGCATTGTGTGAAATGGGTTCTGCTAAAAACTTAATAAACATAAGAAATAGTGGGGAAAAAAAAAGCTTGGGGGGAAAGAAAGAGTCCTCACTGAATAGATTTCATCTTGTCTAGATAGGTCTGGTGAAAAGAGATGGGGATAAGACTCGTATGATTCAATAATGAATAATTGTTATCATGACTAAGTGCAACTGTCACAATTGCAAAGGTAGAAGTTTTGTAACAAAAACAGGGGAGTGGTTAATCTTACAGTCCAGAAACAGAGGACCCTGGCACTAGCAAGGGAGAAGAGCACAAGCAGATTGTGGGACCTTATCCACAGAAGCAGCAGCGCCAGAAATAGAAGCAGAGATGGGGGCATGGAGAGGGGGAGCAGCTGAAGACTCTAGATTTATGGAAAGAGAGGGACTAAAAGCTGGTGGCCCAGGAGGCAGACTTGTAGAATGTGCCCTTTGGAGATGTAAATTATTATACATGCCTGAGTGGTTTTTTGTTTTTTTAACAGCTAAAGTGGATAGAGAGAAATACTGTTAACTGATGGTACAAGGAGGGGATTATAATCATTTTAAGAAAATAAGGTGTATGATTTGTTGAATGAAAAATTGATGATCTGCCCTGTAAACTTTCACTCAATCCACAATAAAAACCTTAAAAAAAAAAAAGAGGTAGATTTGCCTAATGCAATACATCATTTGATATATTGACTGCTGCTTTCATGAGTGTTGATGGTTGATCCAAACAAAATGAAGTACTTGACAACTTTTCTCCATTTATCTTGATGTTATTCATGGGTCCAGTGGTGAGGATCTTGTTTCCTTTACACTGTGGTGCAACCCATACCAAAGGCTGTGGCCTTTGATCTTCCTTAAAAAGTGTTAAAGAGCAAGATGTCAGTTTGATGACTAAAGTATGCCTTACGTAAGCCATGATATGCTCAATTGCCTCACATGCATGCAAAAGTTGGACAATGAACAAGGAAGCCAAAAAAGAATAGATACATCTGATTTATGGTGTTGGTGAAGAATATTGAAAGTACCAACCATACACTGCCAGAAAAACAAATATGTCTTGGAAGAAGTACAGCTAGAATGCTCCTTAGAAGCAAGAATGGCAAGACTTTGTCTCACATACTTTGGATGTATTATCAGGAGGGACCAGTCCCTGAAGGAGGACATCATACTTAGTAAAGCCGAGGGTCATTGAAAAAGAAGAACGCCCCCAACAAGATGGATTGACATGGTGGCAGCAACAATAGCTCAAATATAACAATGATTGTGAGGTTGATGTTTCATTCTATGTTGTGCACAGGGTCACTATGAGTCAAAACTGACTCAACACCACCCAACAACAGCAGTTATGCTTTACCCGGTGACTTCTCTCTGAAATGTATTTTCCTTTTTCGTGAAATGTGAGTTAATAATGCTTATGAATGTTACATGGAGTCCTGGTGTGGCACTGTGGGCTAATGCGCTGGATTGCAAAGTTGCTTTGAACCACAAGGTTGAAGGTTCAAGCTCATCAGCTGTTCCTTGGAAACCCTATACAGGGTTGCTATGCGTTGGAACCAATTCAATGGCACTTAATAACAATAACAATAATGAATGTTACCTGAGACAATACCCTTGAAGGGGCCTAGCACAGATCCTGCCATGTAATGGTTGCTCTCTACTTTCTGGTTGGGTCTGACTATTACCATCATATATCACTGGGCTGTACTGTGTAGTTGAGACTAGAGGCTTGTAATTCAGGTTCATCTTGTTTCCATAGGGGCCAATGCTGACTTCGAATTGGATCAGGTCCTTAAAGTTGGGCATCATAGTACAGGAGAGGAAGATGACACTCAGCCCATACTTTTCACGGCTCTGTTGTTTCTAAAACGATAAACCCACATCACCAGTACATAAACCATGACATAAACAAACGAAGGAATGAACAATAAGGGTCAGGAGGCAAGGATGAAGAACGCTATGTCTTTCAAAACCATCTTTGCTTCTCTTCAGGGTGAGCTAGCTAGACCACCCTTGAAATCCCTCTCAAAACTCTGACTGATCAAGATCAACTGCTAGGACCTCCATCACCTGGACCATCCAACCCAGACAATCCAGTTTCTTCCCTTCCTGAAATGTCTCATCCATGGTTAGGAAAGGCTCTGAGCTGGGCACCCCACACATATCCCTTTAGAGCTCCTCCCCTTCTTTTTGTCTAAACCTCTTCCTAACATGGGACCAGGTATGGCCAGGGCTATGTGGTTGAGGTTGTATTCACCCCTTTCCTGGCTGCCTTTCCTGGCTCTTCTCCTTAAGTTTCCCTCCTCTCCCAGAAAAGATGAGCCTTTCTGCCTCAGTCCCCAGCTGCTCACTCTTCCTCAACTGCATCTGTTCCCAGCATCTCCATTATGTTACCCAGCTCCACTTGTTTCTGTTACCAGCTTCTGCTAACTATCTTCATTCCTCTGGTCTGTTTACCACCTCAGGTCTCCTCTGCCTTAGAGAGAATCTTTCTTCTCTCCCTTCTAAGCCTGTTTAGCTACCACTTGATATATCTCCATTCGCATTTCAACTGTTTCTTACAAGCATTGCCTCTATGAACTGTGTCCCATTTCTTTCATCTATCTATGGAGGATTGGCTTATTTCCTGACCCAAAGCTACTTGCATCTTTCTAATAACCAAGAGGCACTTTGAGTCCTCACCCTTTCTCTCTGTCACATTCATGACTGGAAGTCATTCCTTTTGGCAACTCTTCTCCTGAAGCTGCTGCAGAAGAATCCTCCTCAGTCTCCTCTGCAAACCCCTCTTTCTCTGCCATAGCCTCTTAGAATAATCTCCCTACACAGTCCCCTTCTCCTTTCATGCCACTTATTCCCCCTAGGCAATTTCTTCCACACCCTAAGCTCAAATTCCAGGGCACTTGAAAACACACTGAGACCCAGTATCTAGAGTCTCAGAGACTGGTCTACCTGAGTGTCTCACAAATACAAGTCTAAGATGGGATTCAACATCTCCTCCTTCAGGGAATTCATCTTGGTGAAGGCTACCTCTGACCATCTTGTCACCTAGGCTAGAGAATGGGCATCAACTTAGGGGACTTGATCTCACATCTTATGTCCTAGTAGCCACTATCTCTGATCATTGTTTCTAAAAGGTCTCTAGAACCTGCTGTCTTTTCTCGACTTCTCTTCCACCAAGACTACATCTCCATTTCTTTTTACTGAATGACTCTGACTTATTCCTCTATACTCCAGATTGTTCTTTTTATTTTTCATTATGGTAAAAATATTCACAACAAAACATTCACCAACTCCACAAACTTCTAATGTATAATTCAGTGACATTGATTACTTTGATTACATTCTTCCTGATTATTGTTACCTTTTTTCAAATGATTTCAATCCAGTCTCTTGTTAACATTGCTTCCCCTGGCCTTTTCTACCTCAGTGGCCCTCCAGTGCTTCCAGAAAATAAATTCAAGCTCTTTAGTTCAGTTTGCAAAACCCTGAGAAATTAGTTCATGAATGAACACAATTTCTTCTTAACTAGATTGCACATTTTTTAAACTAAAACCTGTCTTTACTAAACCCCTAACCTGAGCCTAGTACAGCATTAAGCCTTTCAGAAAGGGGCTAGAAATTACCTTGGCAACTAAGCAATCATCCTTTCACATCCAATAGAATGTTCAGCTTATGTCCATCAGAAACCTTGTGGCCAAGGTTGTGTGGATTCAGTAGATTCTGGGCAAGCAGATGGGCTCTGCTTTTTCTCTGTTTACCTGTTTTCCATGGTTACCTCTATCCTGGTCACTTCATGTGAGAGATCCTTTATCTTAAAGTCTTGATGGGATTTTATGTGGGTGATTAGCTCCAGGAAGACTCGGCCTCGGTAAGCTAAACCATCGTTAACAGAGTCAAGACCCAACTAGGGCAACAGAGAGGAAAGCAGAAAATTAAAAAAAGGAATGAAGCAAAAAGAGCAGGCACCTTTTTTTTCTGAACCCTCTGCCTGCCTGGCACTAGTTTGAGAAAGATTTAATTGATCTTTCAATCCCAAGAGGGAACTCCAGATACTCCAGACACCACTGTGGAGAGTATCTGGTGGAAGCCTCTGGCCCTGGTCTCCTGTATCCTCAGCTGTCACCACTTCCCTACTCTACCTGTTAGCCAATTTGAAGCACTTTGTTTCTCATAAATGCTCCATGATAGAAGTGGACTGTGGTAACTGTTGACTTTGTTTCACAGTCTGGCCAATCAGGGTATGCCTATCCTCCTGGGCAGTGATGATTGGTCCAAGAGAAGTACACATGACCTAAGCAGGCCAATCAGAATACTGCCCTAGGATTCTTAATTAGAAGCTGAGGTGGCCATGTTTGCTGCATGGAGGTCTGACTGCAGAAGAGAAGACTAAGGCCAAGGCATAAAAACCATGGAGATGAGAGAGGAAACAAGAGTGAAAAAGCTTCCTAATGGCACTGAAGTTTTGGTTCCTGAAGCTCTTCACCCACAATCCTTTCCCAGTCCCATTCCCTTAATTGTTTAAGCCAGTTTGAGTTGAGTTTCTGGCACTTATAAATAGAGATTGGAATAATTCAATGTTTTTTGACATTTGCTTCTTCCTTTATCTCAAATGTCCTTTGTACCTGCCAAAAATCTTAGCTGAGGTCTCATCTCAGGAACTTCTCCCTCAGTGAGTGTCTGGAATACTCCAGCTGTTACTTATACCACACTACATGTCTAATATCTACCATGGTTATTTGTGTAGAAGTAGCATATCCTCTACCAGAATCCAAGTGAAAGAAAGTAGGTCTGAGTTCCCCTTTGAACATCGACTAGGCCACAGTGCCTTATAAACAGCCACTGTTCCTAGAGCTTAAATGAGAATCTTACAGTGCCTTCTTCCTGGATCCTGAAAGGGGCCTTTTTACCCCCATGGAGAGTCAGGAAACTGGGGCCGAAGCAGGGTAAGAAGCCAGAGTACACTCCTGGAAGAAGATAGGGTAAGAAGGGGTAGAATCTAGGGGATAGGCATGGGACAGGGGCTGGGGATTCTGCTTGCCTTCCATCTCTGCACCAGTGGACGAGATCTGGTTGAGGGACAGGCTGGCAGTCCCAATCTCTTCCTGGCAATCCTTCTGGGTCCTGGGAAGAGACATACTCAGCAGGCTAGATTTGGACCTGGCCCTGGTTTCCTCCTCCTCTGTGTGCTTCCGCCTCAGCCCGTTTGCTCACCAGTCCAAGACTCTCAACTTGATGTAGCTGGAGAGGCAGGGCAGCTGCAAAGGGAAGGTGAGCACAGCGGTGGGTGCATACCTGGGCCTTCTGGTCCCCAGAAAGTAGTTGGGAAGTGTCAAGTCTGGGTCCAAGGCCTGACTCAGTTACAATAGGTCATTGAATCATGGATGTAGATGAATTTATCATGGTATAATGTCCCTTCAGAGTCCCTGAGTGGTGCGAATGGTTAATGTGTTCAGCTGCTGTGCTAGCTATCGAGTGACACTATAACAGAAATACCACAAGTGGAAGGTTTTAACAAATAGAAACACGTTCTCTCACAGTTTCTAACCCACAGAAACCCACTGCCATCGAGTCAATTCAAACTCACAGAGACCCTATGACAGGATAGAACTCCTCCTTAGGGTTTTCGAGACTGTAAATCTTTATGGGAGCAGACAGTCTCATTTTTCCCCCTCAAAGCAGATGATGGTTTTGAATCACCAACCTTGCAGTTACCATCCCAATGCTTAACTCACTACAACACAAGGCCTCCTTACTTACAGTTTAAGAGGCTACTACTCCTGATGTGGTGCTGTAGGGTCAGCACTGGACTGCAAACCACAAGATTGGCAGTTCAAACCCACCAGCTGTTATTCAAAAACTCTTGTCTAATTTACAGCTTCAGAAGTCCTATCCGGGTGGCCATGAGTGGGAACGAACTCAAGGACACTTAACAACAACTCTAGGGGAAGGCTTTCTCTCTCTGTGGGCTCTGGAGGAAGGGCCTTGTCTTTTCAGTTTCGGATTCCTGGTTCCTTGGGGATCTCTCTGTTTCTTGGCATCTTACCCCAGCATCTCTGTTCATTCACTTGTTTATTCTCTTTTACATCTCAAAAGAGATTGACTCAGGATGCACCCTACATTAATTCTGTCTCATTAACATAACTATGACAAGCCATACCCAAATGGGATTATAATCACAGACATTGTTTTGTCCTTGTTGTTAAGTGCCTTCAAGTCGGTTCTGACTCATAGCAACCCTGTATAGGGTTTCTGAGGCTGTAAATCAGACTATGTTGTTGTTAAGTGCTATTGAGTTTTCTGACTTATTGAGCCCATTCATGTATAAGGTTGCTGAGGAGTGGTTGGTAGGTTTGAACTGCCAACCTTGCGGTTAGCAGTCCTGTGCTTCTCCTATAGCACCAAACCAGGACTCCAAATCAGACTAGAGAAGCATACAATAGTGAGGAACAAACAGCCCTGCTTTACATCCAGCCCAGTTTTTAACCATACTCTAGGGGCTGCCTCTAGGCTTTTAACAAAGAGCTGTTTTATATCCAGGGCACTTTACTCAGGAGATAAGAAGATGTACAATATAATTTTGGATGAGTCTTTAAGTGTTTTATTCCTTTGCTTTGCTTTTTAATGTAGGGAAAGGGCACTGTCATGGACTGAATTATGTCCCCCAAAGTATGTGTCAATTTAGTTAGGCCCTGTCAGTGGTTTGGCAATGATGTGATCATATAATATGGCAGTAAGGAATGGTATCATCTTCCTCCATGATGTAATTTGATGTGATCAGCCAATGAGTTGTTATGGTAACACCCGTATTCAGGTCACAGCTGTGATCCAATCTAAAGAGAGTTTTCCAAGCATGTGACCTGCATCAACTTTGATTTTACAAGAGATCCACAGAGAGAAAGTTGAGCAGAGAGAGGGATCTGACTACCACCAAGATGGAAGAGCCAAGTGGAGTGTGTCCTTTGGACCTGAGGTCCCTGTGCTGAGAACCTCCTAACTTCTAGGGAACATCTGGTCTAGCCAGGTTAAAAGAAGACAAGGGCTTTCCCTCAGAGCCAACAGAGGAAAACAGCCTTCCCCTCGAGTTGGTGCCCTGACTTTAGACATCTAGCCTTCTAAACTGTCAGAGAGAAAAATGTGTTTGGTAAAGCCAGCCACTTGTGATATGGCTGTTAGAGCAGCACTAGCTAAGACAGGCACTTTTACATTCTCTGGAAAGTTATGTCCAGTTCTTTTCGTAAAAAACCTCAATTCGATTCTGACTCATGGTACTCAACATGTTTTACAGTAGAACTGTGCTCCACAGGGTTTTCAGTAGCTATAATCATAAGATTAATTTATGGAAGTTGAGCTCCAGTCCTTTCTTCCAAAGCATTCAAAATACAAAAGGTCAGTGTTTTGGTAAGCAGCCAGGTGTTAACTGTTTGTACCACTCAGGGTACAAACTGGATAAATAGGGTTAAAATTTTTCATATGTCCCAGACTTCTCAGGCAGAGCACCCACTTACTGTGCTTCTCGGTCCCCACTTTCCATTTGCACCCATACACAAACACCCCGAGAGGCATTGGGGGCAGTGGATTTTACTCTTGGCTTCTAGGACCAGCAATACCTGTATGGGGAAGGTCAGGATCTGGTTCCAGATTGGGTTCTCGGTTTGGTTCTGCACGTCTGTCTTGAGCTAGGAATATCCCGAAGCAGTGTTAGTGCAGCATCCACACCGGCCTCTTGGCCTCCTCCTAGCCCTCTTTGTCTGCAGCACAGAGCTGTCCATACTAACCCCTGATCTAAAGACACAACTTCAGTTCTTTGGGTTCATTCTTCAGTTAGTTTCAGATCAAGAATACTTTATATTTTCCCTTAAGCCAATATCCAATTGACTTAATTTTTAAATATATGAAGGGTCATTAGCTATATTATATGAATTCATACAAGTAGATTTTGTCAGGTAAATTGTAAAATCCCAACAGAATTCCTCTAACTCAACAATAAAAAGACAAACATCCCAATTAAAACTGGGCAAAGAACTTGAAAAAACAAATCTCAAGAGAAAAATGGGCAGAAACATAGCTGATGACAGTAGCCCCCAATGACACAGCCCCTTTAAAAGCATCAATTGACCTAACTTTTAAGTCTAGCCTCATTCTAAACAATGATATATTTGAAGTCAAGAGTTAGCCTGTTTAAAGTTTTAAATATGATATAAATTAAACTGAAATATTAAACAAAAACCTTAATTTATGCCACATACCACTCAAAGTCATCTTTTAGCTCCAGGGGACCCAAATCACTCTTTGGGAAATAAAACCAGTGCGCTGGTTTTAAATTATTTCTCAAATTCTTTGTTGGCATTCCCTTCAAAAAATGGACACTAATCCCTCTTCCTTTAAGTGTGACTGGATTCTAACAGAATATGGTGGAAATGATGGTTTTCAAATTTTGAGGTAAATCTATTTCATTTAACTTGTTGGTCTAGGGGTGCTAAATTTCCCATTAGTGGAAAAGGTAGATTCAGTTCCTGGTGTCTTACCCACCATCTCTTCCTCCATTCTGTGTTATTTTATCTAGGTTCCAATTCTTCTAAGCCTTAGTACACTTCTTACCTTCTTCCCACTTAATTCCACCTCCAACATAGGATTCCCTGGCTGGTTTTTCTCTATAAACAAGAAGTTAAAAGACTTCTGAGATAGTAGAATTATTTTAGGGGCAGTAAGTGGAATATAGGTGTGAAAGCTGGACAGTGAATAAGGAAGATCGCAGAAGAATTGATGCCTTTGAGTTGTGGTGTTGGAGGAGAATACTGAAAGTGCCATGGACTGCCAAAAGAACCAATAGATCTGTTTTGGAAGAAATGGCAGAGTGCTCCTTGGAGGCCAAGATGGCTAAGCTTCGTCTCTCCTACTTTGGACATGTTGTCCGGAGGGAACAGTTGTGGAGAAGGATGTCATGCTGGATAAGGTGGAGGGTCAGAGAAAAAGAGGAAGACCCCTAACAAGATGGATTGGCCAGGTGGCATCATTGATGGCGTCAAGTGTGGCAGCGGTAGTGAGGTTGGCCCAGGATCGGACATTGTTTCGTTCTGCTGTGCATGGGGTTGCTATGAGTCGGTTCCGACTCAATGGCACCTGACAACAACAACAACAAGTGGAAAGGTAACACTTAAAACCCTAACCCATGGTTTAGTTTGGTGTCCCCAGGAAGACATGTCTCAAATTACCATTCTTTCCCTTCAGTGCATCATGGCACATAATGGCAGGAGGGGGCTGAGCATAGGCAACTTTGAGACTGCATCTGGGCATCAAAGACAAGTCAAGGGCATGGGACCCATTTAAAAGGACGTCCAAGGGACCTTCATAAAGGAATTCTTGGCAGATTTCAGTCTCACCCTGTTCCACCATCCAAAATCTTAGATCAATGTCAAAATGGACTGGGGAAGTCCCATGAGAATACAGAATGCCTCTGTGTAGGGAGCCTCAGGTCACTTCCTCCCCCTCCACCTGCCCTAGCCCAATTCTAACCAAAATGAAGGTCTTCTGCACAGTAGATGAAGAACTGTAATTGAGCCATGTTGACTGGAGCAGCCGCAGACTTGAAGAGCTTCAGACTGGTGTCATAAGTCCCATAAGGCAGCATTAGATCTAACTGAAGAGACAAGCGAGGCAGGGTCAGGACCAGAACGAGTTCATGGACAAAGCCACCAGACTTTTCGTCTTCAGTATCCCATTTGGAGCAGTGGACAGAGGGAAGGATGTGAAGATCAAAAGCCACTGTGAGAGCCCAGCAATGCTCCCAGGAAGACAACAGTATAGGAAATATTATGAGGTAAGGGCGGGAAAAGCCTTACCACAGCATGGTCTCCCACGCCAAGGGCACAGATGGTGATTTTCAGGTAGCCCCTCACGCCACTCGTGGGATTCTCTGGCTGGTAGAGGCCTAACCACTCCCTTAGGAGTGTGTGACCTGGGGATGTAGAGGGACCCCTAGGAGACCAGTGTCCAGTCCCTGTTTCCTGAAATCAGTCTTTGTTTTGGGGCAAGAGCGGTATGGCAACTGGTCTCATTTATTCTGGTTCCCAGCAACTGAGAGCTTCAAGAAAGTGGGAGACACTCCTAATCACTAGTCCACTCACAAAACTGCCAAATATTGTCTTTAGGAAGTAGGTAGCCTTCTCTCCCACCATAGGACCCTACAGTAGAGTTACTGACCTGGTACTATAGAGGTAAGCATTTCCTCAAACCCTACCTAAGTCCAAATCTCAACCTGGTATCATATGGTGGTCAGGTCACAGTGGAAATCCTACTCAAGTTTCAAGTTTGCTAACACTGGCCTCAAAAAAAAAAAAAAAAAGTCAAACTGTTGTTATGTGCTGTGGAGTCGATTCTGACCCATAGCGACCCTGTATAGGGTTTCCAAGGAGCAGCTGGTGAGCTTGAACTGCCATGCTGACCTTGCAGATCGAACAGCTTTGCAGTCTGGTGCCTTAACCCACAGCACTACATCAGGACTCCATGTTGTTGTTGTTAAGTACCGTGGAGTCGATTCCGACTCCTGCACAGGGTTTCTGAGGCTGTAAATCTTTATGGGAGCAGAACGCTTCATCTTTCCCCTGTGGAACCGCCGGTAGTTTTGAACTGCTGACCTTGAGGTTGGCAGCCCGACTCGTAACCACTATGCTATCAGGACTTCATAGGCACAGTGAAATATTATCAAGTACAGAAAAGAATTCATTCTCCCCCTATGTGTTGACCCTATGGGGATTTGGAGGAGTCTTGACACCTGATCTGATTTGTCTCAGAAGACACAGATACCTACCTGGAGAATGGTAGATAAACCCAATATCTGTCTGAAAAGATAAGAATGAAGTGAGGATTAGGTAGGATTTCCAGCCAAGATTTATAATACTATTATTATTATTAGAGGGATGTGGGGTGGGATTGAAGGCAGTGTGAGGCAAGCTACCTCAGAACATTCTGAGCACCCTTGTAACCCAGAAAGTTCCAAACAGTAGCCTCATAATTTGGTATGAAGGCCAGCTTTAAAACTTGGCCATTTTCTGTATGGCTAATTGTCTTCACGAGCAACTGTTTTCTTTGCCATAACTGATTCCTGAGTACCACTACTGAACATTTTGATCAAAGATTCTACAGAAGAATCCTCACTAAAAGGGGGGAAATGTAGAAGAGAATTTCTAGTTTTTATGAAACCTAAACTTTTTGGAATCATGGAAACTGGATGAACTAAAATTAATGCCCTGATATAATCTTTAAACCTTAAACCAAAAATTTCCCCTGAGGTCTTCTTAAAACCAAATAGTTTAGATTGACTGGTAAAGATTGTCTGCCTTGAGCATTATTATGCTCTTTTAAATCATCTCTAGGGTATCAAACTGACAACAGCAACTCAGAAGATTAGATAGGAACCCTAGGGGGCATTGAGTTTATGTTCATGGGAAGAAAAAACTCAGAAAAGGAGGGTGAGAATGGTTGTACAACTTATGAACTTGTATCAATGTCAATGAATTATTCATAGGGAAATAGTTGAATTGGTGTCTTGTGGGGTTTTTTTCTTTTTTAAAACTTTTTATTTTGAAGTGAGTGGAGGTTTACAGAGCAGATCATCAATTTTACGTTCAACAAATCACACACTCTGCTTCATTACATGGTTGCAGTCCCCTCCATGTACCAACAGTTAACAGCATATCCCTCTACTCACTTTAACTGCTGCATTCCTCCCTGTGTCTCCCGACACCTTCATCTTTCCTCTGCTAACCTTCCTCTTGTAATTGCCTGTCCTGTCACCCATATTAACATGTGTCTACCCCTCTAGCTCATGAATACTTTTCCCTCCCTTGCCCCTCACACCCCCATCATAGATTTTTTCTTTTAACAAGATTTTTTTTACATTTTTTTTAGCTTTTTACAATGCTGGTTTCATACAATGTTTGTCCTTTTGTGATCGACTAATTTCCTGGTGTGGCGCCATAGGATAAGCACTTGACCTCAAGGTCAGTTTGAACTGTAAGGTCGGTGGTTCAAACTCACCAGCTATTCCTTGGAAACACTGTTTGAGGTCATTATGAGTCTAGACCAACTTGATGGCACTTAACAACAATTTCATAGAGCATAATGTCCTCAGTTCAACCATGTTGTGAGCTGTTTCATAGATTCATCATTATTCAACATTTTTCAGTATTTCATTGTGTGTATGTACCAAAGTTTAACCATTCTTCTGTTGATGGGCATTTAGGCTGTCTCCATCTTTTTGATATATCTCTCATAGACAGGATTTTGAAGGATCCTGTTTTCTCATCAATTTTGCTCTTTATGTCTCTTGACTGGTATATTTAATTCATTTACACTCAATAAGAATGAAATAAAATAAATTACTAAAACAAAAACAAAAAATTCAGCCATCTTCTTGGATTAGATAGGCAAAGGCTTCTTAAATACAACACCAAAAACATGATCCATAAAAGAAAAAATGGATAAATTGGACTTCATCAGAATGTAAAACTTCTGCTCCTTGAAAGACACTTTACCCAAGAAAAATTAAGAAACTAGGAGAGAATATTTGTAAATCATATATCTGATAAAGGGCTAATATCCAGAATGTATAAAAAGCCAAACCCAAACCCATTGTCTTTGAGTTGATCCAACTCATAGGGTTTCTGAGACTATAACTCTTTAGGGGACAAAAGTCTCATCTTTCTTACATGCAGCAGTTGGTGGGTTTGAACTGCCAACTCTGAGCTTAGAAACCCATAGCAACATCAGGCAGATAAGCACATGAAAAAATACTCAACATCATTAGTCATTAGAGGAGTGCAGGTTAAAATCACAATGAGATACCCCTATTCAGCATTAGCGGTTGTGTGCCTTTGAATCTGTTTTGACTCATGTTGTTGTTAAGTGTCATTGAGTCAGTTCTAACTCATAGTGACCCTGTATAGGGTTTCTGAGAAACTGGTGGTTTGAACTGCCAACCTTGTGGTTTACAGTCCAGTGCTGATCCTACAGGAATCCTCTGACTCATAGCGACCCTGTATAGGGTTTTTGAGGCTATAAATCTTTAAGGGAGCAGAAAGCCTCATCTTTCTCCCAAGGAGCATCTGGTAGTTTGAAATCACTGATCTTGTGGTTAGCAGCCTAGCTTGTGATCCACTATGTTACCAGGAAAGATATGAATTAGGGTTGGATCCTTTCAACATATTTATTCAATATGTATGCTGAGCAAATAATCCAAAAGTTGGATTATATGAATAATAATGTGGAATCGGGAATGGAGGAAGATTTATCAACAACCTGCAACATCCAGATGACACAACTTTGCTTGCTGGAAGTAAAGAGGGCTTGAAGTACTTATTGATGAAAATCAAAGACTAACAGTCTTCCATGTTGATTGCACTTCAATGCAAAGGAAACGAAAATCCTCAAGACAGCATCAATAAATAACATCATGAAAATAGAGAAAAGATTGACACTATCAAATACTTCAATGTGCTTGGATCCACAGTTAATGTTCGTAGTAGCAGCACCCAATAAATCAATTACTTATTGCATTAGGGAAATCTGCTGCGAAAAAAACCTCTTTAAAGTGTTAAAGAATAGAGAGATCACTCTGAGGTGCTTCTGACCTAAATCATATTTTCAATGGTCTCATGTGCATGTGAAAATTAGACAATGAATAAGAAAGGCTGAAGAAGAATGGACGCATTTGAATTTTGGTGTTAGTGAAGAATCTTGAAAGGTCCATGGACTGCAGAAGAACAAACAAATCTGTCTTGGAAGAAGCACAGCCAGAATGCTCCTTAGAAGGTTGGATGGAGAGACTTGGTCACTTTTATTTTGGACATGTTGTCAGAAAGAATCAGTCCCTGGAGAAACACCTCAAAAATGGAAGGTCACCAAAAAAAGAGAAAGATCTCAGTGACACCAGATATGGGGACATGGAGAGATGGAGCAGCTGAGGACTCTCTAGACTCATGGAAAGAGAGGGACTGAGAGCTAGTGGCCAGGAGGCAGACTTGCAGAATGTGCCCTTTGGTTGTTTAAATGATTTATTTTCCTGAGTGTTTTTGTGTACACTCCCTCCCCACCCCCCACCCCCACCCCCCAAAAAAGCAGAGGGAATAGAAGCAAATACTATTGAATGATGACGCACTGAGGAGATTATGATCATTGCAGTGAAACAATGAGTGTAAAACTGATGTTTTCCCATATCACTCAATTCACAATAAAAACTTAAAGAAACTTAAAAACAAAGAAAAGAAATGAGGAAGATCTCAATGAGATGCATTGACACACTGGCAGCAAAAATAGGCTCAAACTTAACAACAGTTGTGAGGTTGCTGTGCACAGGGTTGCTTTAAGTTAGACCCAACCCTGTATAATTGGGTTTCCAGGGAGCTGCTAGTGAGTTTGGACCACAACCTTGTGGTTCAAAGTAACCTTATGGTTGATTGCTTATTCTACAGCGCTACACCAGAAGTCCAGTAGTGAGAAAGAAACGTTACTTTTGTTTGTCCTAAATTTACTTTTCCTAAGGGTAGAGTCATCTAAGGTTGCCAGAGTTATCAAACAAAAATTCACAATACCCAGTTAAATTGGAATTTCAGATAAATAATACATACTTAAAAAAAAAAGTATAAATATGTTCCTTGTAATATTTGGTAAGGAGCTTTGTAATATTTGGAGCATATTTATATATTTTAAAGTATTTATAATATAAAATTTAAATTTATATATAATTGGCATCCTATATCTAATCTGACAACACTACCGTTTTCTGACCTTCTTGGACTTGAAGACTCTTGGTATAAACTGTCAGGTCTTGGTATAAACTGTCAGTATAAACTCCTCATCACTCAGTTTGTCTTTCCAGATCAAATCTTTTTACTGTGTTCAAGTAGGGTGCAATCTTTGTCAGGACTTCTCCCACACTTAGTTTGGGCTTTCTGTATTCTCTACTTCCATTTCTGAAGGTCCCTGAGTGGTGTAAATGGTTTGTGCTCTGCGGTGGTTCTGTATGATAAGCACTGAATTTCAAACCAAATGATTGGTACTTTGAGCCCCCAGCTGCTTTGTTGGAGAAAGGTTTTCTGCTCCAGCAAAGATTGACAGGGTTGTTGTGAGTCAGAACTGACTTGACAGCATTTAACAACTCATCAAAACCACCTAGCAGTGCTGCAGAAGTAAAGTCTGGTGATCTGCTTCTGTAAAGATTATAGCCAAGAAAGTCCTCGTGGAGCACTGCTATCTGAATATATGAGGATTCCCATGAGCCTGAATCAACTCACTGGCAACCAATTTGCCTTCTTTTTGCTTCCATTTTTATTTCCTGGAGACAGAGATCTGAACTGTGCACAGTATTGCTGGTAAGCAGAATCCAATATGATGCCAATCATTTCTTAGATATTACATACAGTGGCTGCAACATAGCCATGATTGTGAGGATGGGGTGATGTACGACCGGGCAGTGTTTTGTTCAGTTGTATATAGTGTTGTTATTAGTTGAAGAAGCCCTGGTGTGGATCAGCACTGGACTGCTTACCTCAATGTCAGTGGTTCAAACTTACCAGCTGCTCCTTGGAAACTCTATATGGAGTCCCTATGAGTCCAAATCAACTTGCCAGTATTTAACAACAACAACATGATTTGGAACTGACTCAATGACACCAAACAGAAACAACATCTCTAATCATCACAATGACCCTGCGGGTTAGGTATGTCATTAACCCTATTTTATAGATGAGGAAATAGAGGCTTAGAATAACTTGTCCAAGTCACTCAGTTGATGTTGTTGTTAAGTGCGGTTGAGTCAGTTCTGACTCATAGCAACTGTGTATAGCATTTCCAAGGAGCAGTTGATGAGTTCGAACCGCTAACCTTGTAGTTAGCAGTCCAGTGTTGATCCTACAGCATCACACCAGAATTCCCAAATCTGGATCTTCCTGATGCAAATATCCAAGTCCTTTCTCCCAGGCTTGGGCTTGGCACCAAGAGTGGATCTCTACGACTGTTTTAGCAAACCTCCAGTGCTCACTTGGAATCTCCCGATCTCTGATTTGTATCTCAACACTGAGGAGTTCATCACCTGCAGGGAATTTCCAGAAAGATCTCAATTATTCACAATTCCTTTTCCCTCTACTCCCGACAGGAGGAACTATAAGGGCCCATCCAGGATCCTCCAGGATTTACTAAATGCTTAATAATGGCCAGGTCCTTGCACATAGGTTTTTTCAGTTAATTCTCAGAAGACCCCTGTGAGGTTCAAGTTTCCAGTTACATTGCATTCACTTATCCCAAGTTGACACAAAGCAAGGTGTTGCTCTCAACTTGGTGGGTTCCCATGTATCTATGTTCCCAAGAACATGTAAACTTTTCATGGGAGAAGCTTCTTTTCTCTGGGTTGGGCACACATTAAAAACTCCCAAACCAAGCCAGTTGCCTTAAATTAGATTATATTTGATTGACTCATGGCAACTTCATGTGTTGCAGAATAGAACTGTGCTCTATGGGGTTTTCATCTTTCAGAAGTAGATTGAGATGTCTCTCGGTGGATTTGAATCACCAGCCTTTTGTTAGTAGTTGAACTCTTAATCATTTGTACCACCCTGGACTCTAGGCACACAATAGGCATTTGATGAATACGTGGTCACCACTGTTAATGGGCTCCCTCAGATCGGGAATGGAGTCTTCCAGTGGCACGAGAATCCTGGTTCACAGGAAGGAGTTGCCCTTTGCACCTTGGCATCTAGCTTAGGACCTAGCACTTGGCACTCCATAACACTTGTTGAATGAATTAGTGAAAAGGAAATCTGGGTTGCCAGGAGGGTGCAGAAAGTGTGGAGATGCTGTGGTGGGGGCAGAAAGACACTACGAAGTGGCCCTGGCTCTGAGAATGGGGGCTAGGGGTCCAAGTGCTTCCCAGGATTGAGGTGGGACAAGAAAATGAACCTATCTTGCTGGATTCATTCCTCACCTGAATTAAGATGGTCTGTTCGAAGAACTTTGCAGGGAGTTCATGAAAATTCTGGAAGAAAGTCTGAGGCAGAAAGAACAGGGTTAAGGGTGGACAGTTTCTTCCACCATTCACCATAGGACTCAATAAACTTGAAGGCTCAGAATAGCACTGTTCTTTGACCTCCATTACCAATCCAATGATATCCAGTTCCTGGAGAAGGACATCATGCTTGGTGAAGTGGAGGGACAGAGAACAAGAGGAAAACCACCAACGAGATGGACTGGCACAGTGGCAGCAACGAAGAGCTCAAGTGTAACAAGAATTGTGAGGATGGCACAGGACTGAGCAGTGTTTTATTCTGTTGTACACAGGATCACTATGAGTCGGAACTGACTTGACAGCATCTAACAACAACAACAACGTACTCATGCTCCATCAGAAGCAGAGGTCTCCTGAGCTTCTGGATGATTTCTGCCTAGCTAAAGAACAAACGTAAGGAATCCCTGAAGAGTCTGTCATGTCCCTATCTTCTACCTCCTTTGAGATTGGCCACTTCCCAAGTTCTCCCTGCTCTAGCCAGAACTTCCTTTCCCACATGTAAACATGGACCTACCACTATGCTGCATAAGCCCCCCCACCCCCACCCCGATGGTTCTTGAGTGCTTCTCATGAAGGGGCCTCAGCCCATTTAAAAAAAATTATTATTATTTTTTCTCAGCCCATTTTGTATCCTCACTTCTGACTGCTCCCCTCCAATCACACCCACATCTATGGCTCTTTTAACAAGCTATGTGCTTTCTTGCTGCAGGGGTTTTGAAAATGTGATTCCTTTTTAACTGAATAACCTATCCCTCTCTTATTTGTCCTTCTATCATAGGCTCTTCCTTCAAGGTTTAGGGAGCCTTTCCTGAATCCATCCCACCTCCCCCAGCTTCCTCCCTTCTTCCATTGTACTTTGGTCTGTTTGTTTGTTAACCACTTAATTTGACAGATATTTAGAGCCCGCAAACCACAAAGCTGCAGTTTGAGTCCACCAGCTGTTCCCTGTGAGAAAGATGACACTTTCTGCTCTCGCAAAGACTTACAACATTGTAAACCCTATATAGGGTTGGTATGACGTGGAACTGACTTGATGGCACTTAATAACAAGAATTGTCTGTGTTAGACATGGTGCTAGAATTTGGGATTCCAACACTGACATATATGTGGTCGAAGCCTGCATTACATGGCTCTACTAACAGTACACCCAGACCTCTGTCAACCCCAGTCTTGCTTACTGTAGTTTATGTTGTTTATATGCTATGCCCTCCCCCACCCTCCAATCAAACCACCAACTCCTCAAAGGGCTCCAAATTATTCAATTCTGTGTTGCCAGTATTAAGCATTGTGCTTGGTTCCCTGTAGGTGCTCAGTTTGTGGAACAAACAATGAAAACACTCTAGTCAAGCAGCAAGCTTACCTGATGCCAGCAGGAAATGCCCAACCCTGATAGCCCCACTTGGTCTACATGCCCTGTGTCCTTTTCAGCTCAAAGGGCCTGTGGCACTCACCTCATTGAAGAAAGGGTTGTTTCCTATCTTGATCCTTGTGTGGTGAACCTGGCTTCCAATGGTCACCTTCACCAGTGGCCGGATGTTGTTGCCCATGAGCTGGCGGGCTTCAAACACCTTCACTCGAACCTACAGAAGAGAACACAGGGCTCTGATATTCGGGGCCTGGCCTCCCTTCTCAACTCTCAAGGACTTTTCTCTCAAAAATAAAATTGTTCCGATGAGAAACATTCTGGCTACAACAGATAACGAGAGAACACACAGGAAGAAGGTTAGGAGGTGGCACTCTGCCTGGTTGAAGGCATACCCTGGGAAGGCCTTGACTGTATTTATGTTTCCACTTCTAGAAATTGTCACTTCCATCTCTTTGCCCTTTCCCTCTTGTGTGGTCTTGGTGTTTCTCTTCTCTGTCAGTATGGACTTATTACAGAATAAAAAAAAGTCTAATAAAGAATCTCTGGGTGGACCCCTGGAGGAGTTGAGTATAAAGTGAGGATCGGAGGATCTGTAGGTCAGTCTGGAGTGCTGACCCTCCACCAATGAACATACTTGGCTGTTAACTGAATGATTGGAAGCTGAAATCCACCCAGGGGTGCTTTGGAAGAAAGGCCTGAGGATCTACTTAGGAAAAACCAGCCCATTGAAAATCCTTTGGAGCACAGTACTACTCTGACAAACGTGGGGTCACCTTGAGTCAGAATGAAACTGACCCGATGGCAGCTACTTAATGTTTCTCAGTTGTTTGCTTTTTATTTTTATCTATGATCTTCCCAAATAATTGACATTTTAAAAGTTCTGTTCAGTTGAATCTATGATATGATTTGTAATTTCTTCTGCTGCTTTGATATACTCTGCTGAAATTGATAAGGAGTCCTGGTGTAGTGTTGTAGAATATACACTGGACTGCTAGCCACAAGGTTGGAGGTTCACATCCACCAGCTGCTCCTTGGAAACCCTATACAGGGTTGTTATGAGTCATAGTCAACACGATGGCACTTAACAACAACAACACCTGAAATTGATAAAGGACTATGGCATCTAAACATAAAATTAGAACACAGGCGGGAAGAAAAGCAATGTAGAGCCCACAAAGGATGTGGGCAGGGTGAAGGAGCTGGAGACAAACAGTGGCTAGCAGGGGACAGTCAGGGGAGTTTTCTCTCTCTTACTATAGATGTTGACTCCTGATGTGGAGCTGTAGGATCAGCACTGGACTGCAAACTACAAGATCAGTATTTCAAACCTACCAGCTGCTCCTTGGAAACCCTATACAGCATTGATATGAGTCAGAACTCAACAGCACTTAACAACAGCAATAACTATAAATGATGTCACTGATTGAATTGTGTTGTTCAAAACTATGTGTTGGCCCCTCCCATTGCAGAGCGTGGAGCGCAGGACTTGAGCGGACCCATTCAGAGGGCGGAGGCTCCCAGAGAGCTAGCGGGGCCACAGGAACTAGCGTGGTCCATCCCAGGGGGTGCCTCATTGCAACGTAGGGCATTGTCGGCATGGATATAGGGCAAATTGGGGTGCTCATGGCACAGGGAGACAGAGAGAGGCATTGTAGACATCATCAGACACAGCCATGCCATCTGCCTGCAGCCACTACCCCCGCCCTCAACTTCTTCGGCCTAGGCCAACCCTCTGCTCAGCCTCTGAGCCTCAGGCACGCCCATCAAGGCGCAGGCCAGTCCAAGCTGAGATGCCCTTGACTAGCTGTTTACCATCAATAACAAAGCAGTCCTGCTGTGGATCTGTGGGTTAATGCGCCAGACTGCAAAGCCTTTTGAACAGCAAGGAATGTGATTTGAGCCCACCAGCTGCTCCTTGGAAACCCTATACTGGGTCACTGTGGGTCACGATGGACTCCACAGCATACCAACAAGAAGAAGAGCTCAGAAGGGACTGAAAGAGAGGTAGAACATTAAAGACTTACTTACATTAAGCTACGCTTTTTTCCTCTCTTTTGCCTGCCCCTCCCCCACCCCTTTTTTGTGTGTGTGATTAGAGCCTGCCTTATTCAAGAGCACAGGCCAGCCCAAATTGAGGCACCCTTGAATAGTTGTTTACCATCAATAACAAAGCAGTCCTGCTGTGGCTAACTGCAAAGCCTGACTGTGGTTCGAGCCCACCAGCTGCTCCTTGGAAACCCTATACTGGGTTGCTGTGGGTCATGATCGACTCCACAGCATACCAACAAGGAGAAGAGCTCAGAAGGGACTGAAAGAGACATAGAACATTAAAGACTTACTTACATTAAGCTACGCTTTTTTCTTCTCTTTCTTCTGCCCCTCCTCCCTTTTTTCTTTTTCCCATCATTTTATTTTCTTTTTTGTTTTTTTTGCTGTTGTTGTTTTGCTTTGTTTTTCTCTCATTATCACTTTTGTTTTTTATTTTGCTTTTGGTTTTCTTTTCTACCCGACTGGTGTTGCATGGCTGTCACATAGCCTCCCTCCTGCTTTCGGAGGACTCC